CAAAGTGAACTCCACATCAAGTGGTCGCAGAAAAACCAACGTGCCAAGTCCTCTTGAACTGTACTTGGCTCAAAACACTCCAAAAGCTACGCATGAAGGTACGAGTCAAAGACATTCAAACCGCTTTGACTCACATAGTACCAAAGAGGTTCGTGGTGCATTGTCGTGAACTCAGGGGCGCTCAAATCCCTGAAAGTGGCTCGTAGTGCATTGTTCTAGACGTGTAGATGCTCAAGTCGCATCAAAGAGGTCCAATATCCTCTCACACCCCCTTTCGAATTGAGCATCTCTGGAAAAATTCCCTCCAGTCTCGTCAGCTTTCAAAGCGAAGACAGCGCCGAAACCAAAAGGTAAAGCCACAAGCTTCTCAATTCACTTCAAGACCCTCCGAACCGTTGACTCGGAGTAGTAGCCACCATCGCCCAAACGGCCATCAAAAATCATCTCATAGGCTTGCAGAAAATCACCAAAGTCTCCTGCCGGCCCAGTCGAGCCTTTCAAACGCTTGCACCAAGCCACATAGGCCTCATGCTTCGGGTCTGCCACAATCTCCTTGTAGCTGAGCCCTGAATCCTTCAGCTTGCCAAAAGCAATCACAGTGCGGGACCATTCCACAAAGCTGTCAACCCCTTTGGGGAGCAAATGCTTCACTTTGCCCTCATCTGCAATCGTCACATCCATAGCTGCAAGGGTGGCCACACGATCCTTCGGTGAACCGGGAAATGGGACTTCCTCAAATTCATCACTCTCAAAGTCAACCAAGCGCCTCTTCGCAGCATCCGTCATGCTACCTGCAGTCTGCGTGACGCAAGGTGGCACAATGCCTTGGCTCCTGCGAGCCAGCATCACCTGCAAGGCCTTTCATCAGCCTCGGACCATGCACCTTCGGCCATGGCTTCTCACAAGGTCGACCGGCTAGAAGCGCAAAAGAAGCTGTTTCCAAACAAAACCGGCCAAACAAAAGAAAGGAAACTCAACGGGCCCACATTAGGCCTCACACGCACACACCACAACACACACTCGGAAAGCGTTTCAGGTACACCTCTCTTTGAGAGTCACTTCACCCCAAAACCGGCAACGACGTCACGAGTTCACAAACTAAGTGCAAAACAAACATGACTGCAATTCCAAGTGTGATGCTTGATGCAAAAAAAACCGAAAGTCACAAGAAGCACTATGTTAGAGGCGTCTTAGACGTCTTACTCGCATTCATTTTCGCGTTACGCGATTTACGGTGTTTGCTGTAAATGCTTGCTCCTTGCTCCTGATCCTCAAGCGAATTAAGTTCACTGCCAGCTCACTACCAAACTAAGGTTCACAAACGATCGGTCCTCAGGGATCTCTTCGCGCCGCTTTCATAGCATTCAAAATGCCTCTTGACAAAGTAGGAGAATAGAAAGCAGTCTTTGAGTAGTCTGTATCTGAAAATGCTGCATGTTCCGAACAAGTGCACTTTCCAAATCTCTTTGTCAACGATGCGCAAAACCCTCTTGAGGACGAAACGAAACTAAGCTTCTTGCCCACTGGAGTCCCGGACCTACCTGAGTATCCTGCCTGACAAAGGTTCACAACACTCTGATGCACTAGACCACATCTCTCCATCACACGAAGAGTAAGTGGCCTCCCCCATATGTTGTTGTACAACGGGAGTTCAAATGAGCCCACATCACCAAGCCTCAGGTAATGCGTGGTTGCTTCCATGACTTGTTCCCATGTCTGCTGTTCTTCGGAAGACAGTTTCTCAGTTTCTCGAAAGTGCTGCAACGGTGAACCTGTCTTACATGGTGTGGATACGTGCACATGAATCCAAAACCCTTGGCTCCTTTTCATCTTTACCAAGTGGGCAACCCTCTGTTTGATTCCTTTTGTTTCCATGTTAGCCGTGATACCAACATACATAATGTTCGATCGCTCACAGGCCAACCTCAAGTTGGAATTCTCAGTGCAACACACCTCAACCATCAAGTAGTCTGGGTTGTTTGAACCTGATGCCTGATTGCTTACATGAAACGCTTCAGCCAACAACCACAGCTCATTCAATGGCATGTCCGCTTGCATGAATCCCAACACCGCTCGATGTCGAAGGAAATCACGTGTTCCGAGACACTTGGTGAAAAGATCTGCCACATTCTGCGTTCCCGCTCGATGTCGAAGTTGCACCTCATTGGAACTAACACGTTCCTTCAACCATGTCAACTTGATATCAATGTGCCGGGAACGACGTGGAAGATCAACAGCACCAATCAACTGCAACGCTGAGCTGGAATCTGATTCCAATACAATGTCCACCTGTTCCTTCTCGTCAATCTCTCCCAAGCCGAAGAGAACGCGATGCACAAAATGGGAGAAGGCAACTGCCTCCTGTGTGAGATGCTGAATAGCATATAGCTCAGCCTCACAAGACGATAGCGAAGTGGCCTGCTGTTGCTTTGCCAGAGATCGAATCAAGCCTGCCTCGACCATAATGACCCCTCCAGTGATGCCTTTTCGCTGGTTGAATTCATATGGGGCATGTGATGCGTCTGAAAAGGTGTGTAAGAACGTCACCATGCCATCATGGTCTGTGAGTCTCACTCCCTCATACTCAGGAGATGGAAGACGAAGGACTGTGTTTCGATCTGTGAACAAATACCTCAATACTGCCCTAATGGCCGCTTCTGTGCTTTGTGTTGGGGCTGACTGCTGTGTACCAATTAGTGATAGCCATAACTTGAGGTCTGCTCTACTCTGGGCTAACCAAATGAGGCGACCGAGTCCCCGACGAAACCGGGAGTACGCTTCCGACGACAATGGTGTTTTCGATGATGCATCCTTCTTTTCCATCAGGCCTGCTATGTTAGGCACAGCACTCGATCCTTGTGTGATTCCAAATTCTTTGAAAGTAGGGTTGAGATACTCTGGATCTACTGCTACAAAGATCGCCTTCTCCTGGGGCCTTCGATAAAGATGTCTCCCAATGAATGACACCTTTCCGCCTCCTTCATCTGACGGAAGAATCTGTCCAGTCACCTTGGTTGGTACAACTGCCGAAATGGCACTGATCACGCTCCTTTCCGCCTGTTCTGTAGAGGTGCACAACAGAATGTCATCCACGTACACCATAAGCATGCCGACACCCAGCACCTGAGAGTCTTCACCAAAGATTTCTCCCTGGTAAATACAGGGCTCAAGTTCGTCTGACCACAATCCTTGACTTTTGACAGTCTCACTCAAAAGATTCAACCACCTCAGGCTCGCATCTCTCAACCCGTTGAGCGCTCGATCTAAGTGGAGATACGCCACACTGCCATCAACCAAGCTCACAGACAGCGGAAGTCTCAATAAGATTGTCTCGGAGCTCGGAAGGGGAGAGTGCATGAAGGCGTGACCGATATCTAAGGTCTTCACTCGAAAATCCCTACTAGCGCTCAAGGAAAGGAGAAGAAACAACCCTTCTACACTGGGAGTGGGTGAGCTGTATCCCATGGCCCTAGCCGTCGTCCCCCTTTTAATATCCTTTGCCACAATCCGTGTCCTGACTTTGACTGGGGATTTCTTAGCGCATACCCATCTACTAGGTATTACTCTTGTGTTTTTGTTCAGTCTCTTCAAATCGTTCATTTGTTGTTCACTCAAGAGTTTCCCCGCCTTGCACTTCTCCAAATTGCCAATTTCCTCCAACATGCCCTCGAAACCCAACTTAGGTTCTAAGGCCTCCAACGTGCTGTCATCAATGACATGATCAGGGCACCAAATCAAAACCTTGCCTCCCCCAAGAGTGAGTTGCTTGGACACATGTTCCTTTCCATGATCAAATTGTATGGCACTGATCTCATCCAGAACTAGTGTTGGTGACGTCATTTGAACCCTAAAATCCAAAGATTCTAGTGATTCACCGGAGTCAAAACAAAACAAGTTCAAGGAAGACAAGATTGAGACTGTTTCCACAGCTTCAGTATTCGCCCTGGTCGTTTCTTCCAAATCTTGCACTGCCGTCTCAGCAGCTCTTTTGAACTGTCTGGTGTATTCGGCCTCCAATGGTACCGGAAGATTCTGGAGATTTTCCTGTGCATCAAAGGCTGCCCTGCGACGACGACACTGCGCTGAATGCCTGATTCCAGGCGCAACCATTCCTGTATCGCAAGCGGGACAAAAACGAGTCGGTTGAAACACCCTGGGTTGTGGTTCACCAGCAAGTTGGCTAGGAGGTGTTTGTCGCACAGCCGACTCTGACTCTGGAACAAAAGGAGGTTCTTCTATTCTAGGTACTTTTGGTTGACTGGCCTCAAACGCTTCTTGCTGATGCATGCGCTTTCTCTCTTGAGGCACGGGCACACCCTCAGGTCCTGGCAATGGCAATCGTGGTTCCTGTTCCATACCTTGCGGACGGGAAGCTGAACTAGCTGCATGCTCGGCCTGCGGGGGATCGGCCAGCGCTCCTCTCGACACATGAACATCCTCAACCTCAATCGGGTGACCACTCATGGTGATAAACCCTGCTCCCATCTCTGCATCCCACTTCAATGGGAGAATTGGTCTCACATTTCTAGCAACAAATTGATGCAAAACAAGCGGGCCTTCAAACCGCACAAACCCTTGAACCTTGGGACCATGATCAAGTCCTGCGTGCAAATACGCCGCTTCGATGCTCCGAGTTTCGTTTGGAGCGCGGAAACGAACTGCATCTGGCAACTCAGCCAACACTGTAGCACCATACAAAGTTGATGTGGGTTTGCTAAGTCGCCTGCCGCACACAGTCTCCAGCGGTGAAAAGTCTGAACTAGGGGTCTTGCCGAAATGATTGTGAACTAAGGCCAAATACGTCAATGCTTCTGCCACACTGTTTGGTGTAAAGTTCAAATCGGCTCCAGACTTATTCAAGTCGGCTCTCAAAACACCCAAGCTCTCCTTAAGTCTGCGAACGGCACGTTCCGCTGCACCCACACTCCGGTGCTGCTGTGGATTTGCCTTTCTCACTAGGAACGAAATCCTCTCTGAGCAATCTGAAATGAGATCTCCCACTGCCTGTTCCGCGTCAGTGTGTAAAACCACTGACGTGGCCCCTGATGTCGACGCCAATCCAAACAGCTCCAGCCATTTGGAAATCCTCTTCTTGACCGCCTTGAGGTCACTTGTGACAACAATGTATCCAACTGCATTCGACACCAGTTCTGTGAGAACTAGAATTTTGATATTTCCCAAGCCTTGGTCATCTTCCAAAATCTCACCCTGGCTTTTCAAATAACAAAAATCAGCTTGTATCTCACACTGTAACCCTTCCTCTGATCGTCGCCTGTGGGAGAAAACACTTCGTCCTCGCGCACACTCAACGCAACCTGGGTGAAAAGGTGTGTGTCCTTGTGCACGGTGTTGCTCAAGTTCACGCGCTGCTGCTCGTGACAACGGGTAGACAGGAAGTTCATAACCCTTCTCAGAAGCGGTCACCTCAGGCACACCTGCAATAGTAGACAACGACAATTGCTGTGATCCTGACACCTCGGCCTCATCAGTGTTGCGATCTAGAGTTTCTACAGGGTGGAGTCGAACCCAAGGGCAACCTGCAAAGTATGCCACCTCGCCTAGACGCTGACCAGTCGCGCTGTGTGTGACCTGGAAACCTTCATTGCTTTGTGAAAACTTCCAACCTCCAGCGCATAGCCTTGTGGTGGACAGGATGTTGTGCCTAATGTTTCCTACAAGAGCACGCAACGTTGCCTTCTTCCATGCGCACCCTTCCACATTTGAGTCTGAAGACCTGGAATCATTACGCAACATCATCCAAACAGATACGGATGCCTCGCCTTGCATGTGCACCTGACTTCCATTCGCAGCCCTGTAGCGATCACCATCTACTGCTGCCTGAACATCATGCACCATGTACACATGTTTGCATGCGCTGCTCATGACCGTGGCACTCGCACCTGAATCTAATAACCACCAAGTGTTATCATCTGTCACCATTTCAGACAAGAGGGGCATTAAAACTGGTACCCACTTCACAGACTGAGCTGCAACTGACAACGTTTGTTTCGTCTCGTTCAAAAAAGTTGAAACACACGGCAAAAGAAGTCGAATTCGGAGAGGTTCAAGTGCACACAACTCTTGACTCGTCTCGTTTGCATAAACAACCCGTTTGTCGTCTCTCAAACCACACTGCACATACGAAGCATGACATGACTGTGGAATGCCCGATATTTGTTCGCTTGGAAAACTGACAGGACACCCATCCAAAAAGACCCCGTCCAAACGTCGACGTTTGGACCCCCCCTCTTTTGCGGGGGAAGGGAAGTCAGACAGAGCCGGAAGAGCATGACATGAGTGTGCATCTCCATGCGTCTTTTCGATTGTCGTTTCTCCTGCACTCTTCTCTAAGCCCTTTGCCAAAGGTCCGGACAAATCTGGACACTTCGAAGGCTCTGTCGCAGTCTCTGCGTCGTGCTCCGGTGGTTCCAATTCCAAACAAGGCCGCATTGACACAAAATCACAAAGGACAAAAACTGGTGAAAGAATCAAACTTCCAAGTGCATTTCCTTCTGACTTCACAGCATCCGTGCGATACTGAGTTTCTGAACCAAGCTCTCCGCCTGTGCCGTAGCCATCTTGACTGGTCTCAACCCAGCCAGAATGCCAATCCTCCTGCGCGTGCCACGCCGCGTCACTCCAAGTCGCGGCTACCGGGGATCCATCTCCCCACCAAGACTCCTCACTGTCCCACCACAGATCTTCTGCGGTCCACTCAATTTCATTCAGTTTTCCTTTCTTTCCACCTTTACCTTTGCCTGCTTGGTTTCCGTTTCCAAATTTTCCTTTCTTGAACATGTCCTGTTTTACCCAAGAACTCTTTCATCCGTCCAAACCTTTTGAGCCTTTGCCTTGACCCTTTCCTTTTGGTCCTGCAAAGCGAGATTGCGGGCAATTCATCGAGACATGTCCTGTCTGGTTGCATCGGAAACACTTGATTTTGGTCAAATCAACACTACATTCATGAGTCTGATGTTTCTTACTCCCACATTTTCCACACTTTTGTGCGGAACCCTGCAACTCATCAACAAACCAATTTTTGTCATTTTCACTCAAATCAAACCATTCTACTCCTTGTGGTTGTTGCTGCTCCTCCTTGTGGTGTGTCACCTGAGATACCTTTTTGCCTCCTAAAGGGACCAAATCCGTGAACATCCTTTGCTGCTGTTCCCATCTACATGCTGCACTTCGGTATGCTTGGTAGCTTTCTCCTTCTGCATGGTGCAAAACATAGTTGCGCACGGTTTCTGGCAAACTGCGCACCAACACCATGAGCAAATCAGCTTCTGACACCTGTAGCCCTACAGCATCAACCGTCGACGGGAGTGTACTCAACAATCGCTGATATCTAGCAGCTTCAAGTTCGATACGTCGTACGGTATCACTCACGAGCGACGAAGGAGATGTTTCCTGAGCCGTGAGAACAAAACTTTTGGATGCCAACGCAGTTCGAAAAACAAGTGCTTCATTGCGTGTCCTCAAGGAGTATTCCTGCGTAAGCTGACGCAGAAGCTCATATCCGTTCGCACTGGTTCCTGCACTACCGTCAGAGGTCATGGCCTGAATGTCCACTCCTTCCATGAAAGCATGGATCAACGTGGCACTCCTGGGATGGCCCATAAACGTGGATCTCAAAATAGCCAACAAACGCATACTACGACTTCTCATCACCAACGTCATTGATGACCAACGGATTGGTGTGCTCCACCTAGACGCTTGCAGAATCTCAGTCCCAAACTGCAAAGATGCTTGGGACGCCCATGCTGACAAATCCGCCACATACTGCGCCCAATTGAGCACTTCACTTTCACGATCACGCCACTTCTCAAAGGATGGCTGAGGTGGATTTCCAATCCACTTGTCCGTCCGTGAAAATGGATCATTCTGGTTCCAACCACTGTCACTACCTGCACCATCAGCTTGCTGCCGTGCACTCTGCGCTTCCACTGGCAACGGCAAACCTGCCGCCAACAAGTCAGGCATGAACGGTTCTGCTGGCGCACTCCGTACTTGTCCAAACAAATCTGGTTGTGCATGAGTCCTTCTCCGAACTTGTTCTTGAAAGTATTGAGCTAAGGATAGGACCTGTGCACCAGACATACCCTCTGCTAAACGTACAACGTCTTGCACTCCAACCGGATTCACACCTAAACAGGGAAACAAAGAGCCACAACCTTGTCCTGCCTGACCTACAAAACCACTGCTACATCCAGGTCCTGGTGTGCAACTGCCACAGCAACCGTATCCTCCACAATTCCCAACTGAGATTCTAGGATCGCCACTTGCTAAGTTGGGCACTTGGCCAGGGAACTGACTGCTAAGATTCTGACCAGCTAAGTTCGAGTGACCCCATCCTAATCCTGCTCCTGGCATGTTCGGCATGTGTGGTGCGTTGGGTGTCACACGACCTCTACCCTGCGAACCATTCACGCTAACTGGCGTACTCTGATTAGGCGTACTCGGGATCCGTGGTGGTACTTCTGACATTCCGCCTTGCTCTAACAAGTGCGTGGGACTACTCGGGACGTTGCCTACTGCTGCTTGCGCGCCTGATTGCTGCATTATGCCCTGGAACACAAGACGCTACGTCTGGCGACCTTCGGAGCCCAGTGCTCCGCTACCATGCGAAGCTACGTGTACGCTACAAGACGCGTCGCGGTACTGCTACCTACAGCGTTCTTCCTTACACGAAGCACAGGGAGAGCCCGGGCGGGTGCCTTTAAAGAACAACGAACAACGAACGTATCGATCCCAAAAAGCAAATGACTCACAAGATCGGACTCCCCTCAACTTTTCCTTCACTCACACACACGCAAGCAAACGTGTCGTGTTCGCTTGACTTGTTCTGGCTTTACGTTGAGCTTGAGCGAACGTAAAAACATTGACTGCTCACATCAAGCTATGCAAAAGTCGACCACGTGGGTTCCTTTCAAAAGCATCATGTTGTGCAAAGTGAACTCCACATCAAGTGGTCGCAGAAAAACCAACGTGCCAAGTCCTCTTGAACTGTACTTGGCTCAAAACACTCCAAAAGCTACGCATGAAGGTACGAGTCAAAGACATTCAAACCGCTTTGACTCACATAGTACCAAAGAGGTTCGTGGCGCATTGTCGTGAACTCAGGGGCGCTCAAATCCCTGAAAGTGGCTCGTAGTGCATTGTTCTAGACGTGTAGATGCTCAAGTCGCATCAAAGAGGTCTAATATCCTCTCACAAGAAAGGTCAGGGATCGGGTCTTGCCTGCACCAAAGACTTCCGCTACTGCAAGGGTAGATCTGCCAGATCGGAGGGCAAGCGCGAGGCTGGCAGCCATCGACACTATGTGCCCGTTGTCATGTCAGGCGGCAGTGCCTAGTGC